TACGCGATCGGCGAGACGACCTACGCGGCGGTGCTCTTCGGCCTCGTCCTGCCGCAGATGTTTGCGCAGCTCACCTTCATCCAGGACCCCGTGGCCAACGACGTCAAGTACCAGGCCGCCGCGCAACCTTTCCTAGTCTTTGGCATCCTCTGCACCGCCCTCGCCATCGGCCACCACACCTTCTGAGCACCGCCCTTCTACATACCCGGGCCTCCGCGGTTGCGCGGCCGGAAAAAACCCCGGAGACTAGTAGAGATGGGTTAACGGCAGTCGTGCGCGCCGCGCGGTCTGGCGGTCACCGGTCAGGGCGGTCTCCGTCCGTCTCTCTCTCGCGCGACCGCCGTGTCCCGCGCGTCGGACGCTTCTCGTCTCGCGAGAAGCGGTCTCGCGATTTTACTTGAGAAGCGGTGTGTCTGCTTACAGTTTCCGCTCTGCAACTCTGCACTCTCCATTTCCAGGCGGCTGTGCCGAGGCCGCGACTTCGTGCGCTCTCGCGAGATTTTTTCTCGATTCTCCCGCCACGCCCCACGGCCCACGCCGCCAGAGTCGCATGCTCGCATCGTCGCGAGTCACGCCGCTCACGAACCGGTCAGAAGGCGATCTCTAGACTGGGTAGCTCGGTCTGCAGCGCGCGCCACGCGGCTGCCGCCGCCTGTTCCTCCAGGGCTTTGCAGCCGTGCTGCTTCCGGATGCTGAGCCGGAGGGACCTTTGCCGGCCGGCACAGCTGCGGTTGGCGGAGCAGCTTGCCGCCGAATCGGCAATGCGGCGGAGAGCTTCGACGACCGGGGGGGAGGGGCGGCCACAGATACTGTTGTTGTTGAGCGAGAGCTCGCGCAGCGCGCTGCTCCCGCTCGCCGCCGCCTGGAGGAGCGCCGCCAAGCCGCTCATCGAGAGGCCGCTGTCGCCCATCGAGAGCCGCCGCAGCGACCCGCCGGCGGCGCCGATGGCGGCGGCGAGCGAGGTGGCGCAGCGGTCGGTCAGCCCATCGCCGCGCTGCCGGCTGAGGTAGAGGTCGATCAGCGACGCGCCGCCGTCGCGCCAAGCGCCGGCCCACGCCTCGCACCCATCATCCGTGATCCGGTTGCCCGAGAGGCCGAGAGCACGCAGCTCCTTGAGGTGGCCGGCGCGGGCAGAGCTGGCGAGGGCGCGGACGCACGCGTCGCCCACCGAGTTGGTACCGAGCAGCAGGTTCTTGAGCTCACGGCCCGACTGCGCCGACAGCGCCTTTGCGAGGGAGAGGCAGTCCTCGTCGGTGACGCCCTTGCCCCACCAGTGCAGCTTCTCGCCGCTGGTGCAGCCCCGCGCACAGGAGCCGCCCGCCTTGCCGAGCAGCACGCCGGCACGGGTCGACGCGTCGGCGCGAGAGATCCACGAGTCGGTCGCGGGAAGCATGGAAAATACGACAAAGCTGGCTCGCCTTGCCGCCACGGCCCCGGCGCTGCTGCTGGCGCTACGGCTGGCGCTGCTGCTGCCAACTGCTGCTGGCCCCGGGCTGCGGGCGGGCTGGCTGGCGCGCTGGCTGGCTGCGACCGCGCCGATTCTTTTCTGGCCCTCCCACAACCCGAAAAGATTGGAACCCTCCGGCGCTGTTCTCGTGGTGGCCATGTACAACGGCATCGGCCTCGCCACCGTGCGCGGCTCGGGCACAAACGGCTACGTCTCTCGCAACCTGGCGCACGTCTCGGCGACCCGGTCGGCGCAGCTCAAGGCGGGCGTCAAGGACAGCGGCGCCGGCGGGCTCCACAACATGGAGCGGCCCGGAGACCGGCCGAAGCGCGCCAACCCGGAGATTCTGCTGCACAACCGGAAGCGCGAGGTCGAGGCCAAGTGCCTGCGGCTGCAGGAGGGGCTCGAGGGGCAGGGCGTGCCGGACGACGAGGTCGAGCGGCGCGTCGGCGAGCTGCGCAGCCAGCTGCTTGCGCGGCTGCCCGCGGCGGCGGCGAGCGGCGGGCGGGGCGACGCGGCCGCCGCCCCCTCGGGCCGCACCGGCGAGACGCACGCCGACGCCGCCTCCAAGGAGCGCGAGACGAACGCGCTCAAGGAGGCGCTCGGCATCTCGTCAGCGTACGTGGGCGGCTCTGCGTTTGACCGCGAGGCGCAGGAGCGGGAGAAGGCGGAGCGGCAGGCGCGGCGGGATGCGGAGGAGGCGGAGCGGGCCTCGCTCCTCGCCGAGCTCGAGCGCGAGCAGGCGCGCGAGGAGCGGCAGCGCGCCAAGGAGGCGAGGCGGCGCGACAAGGAGGAGCGGCGCGCCGAAAAGAAGCGGCAAAAGAAGAGCCGCGGGTCGGACTAGCGGCGCCCGGGGGGGGGGGGGGGGACGCGCTGGTGGCAGAGCCGCGGTGGAGCGGGCGCGCACGGCCCCTCGCGCTCGGTGCCATGACCCGGACTCTTCCCAGACGGCGGCGAATGACAGAGGCTCGCGGCGCAGCGAGGTCTCTCCAGAAGGGGGGTCTGCAGTACTGAGCGGAGCACATACAGGGTGAGCGGCGGCGGCTGAGGAGAGAGGCGAGGAGCAGGAAAATGATTCTTCATGTAATGTAAACTGTGCAAAAAAAACGTTATTGGTTAGGAATCCCATCCCTTGGGTTGTCCGTTTTCTTTATTTTAATCCTAATTCCTATATACTGAGCCACCTGTCGACACCTGGCTGCAAGGGGAACTTGACGGCTAGGAGCTTGACGGCCCTCGAGACTGTCAGCGGGCCCGCGGGTACTGCTTGATCACGTCCATGCCCCCAGGGTCTGTGGAGCGTCGTGTTCTGCGTGGAGGTGGGCTTCTTGGGCGCCATGAGAGCTGTGTGTTGCGTTTTCGCGCGCGACGGGCGGTGCACACCTTATTCGCGCGCACCGCCGGTGTGAACGTCTCGAGAGTACCCCAGCGCCCAGGTACCGGTGTGGACATGTGGAGGGTACCTCGGTATAAGGTGCGCTTAAGGTATAGCACTCACTCACACACCTAGGTAGAGGGTGTGGGCGCTGCGCGCCTACCTCTGTGTCGGTACAAGGTGTACACCTGCACCTTCTGAAGCGTGGCTGTACAGCTTGCTCCTCTTCCGAGCGCTGCACCTGCTCCTGACGATCGTGGTATGGCAGCATTTCTTTCAGAACAAGTACTACGTGCAGCTCGCGAACGTTACCAAAACTGGCATGGCAATGCCGGACATGTGCAACTTGTGACGAGCGTGAGGAACGGATTGGGGGTTGCACGGACGGCCGGATCGGCAGCCGGAGAGCCGTTCGAGCTCCGATGGAGGCCGGTCGTGCATCGGCGCGTCGGTCGTAGGCCCTAGGGGCCGTAGGGGCGGCATCCATCGCTGCGGGTCGCTGCGTGCGGGCCGACGAATTGTGGACTAATCGATCGAGGAAGGGCGGAGAGTGCTGGGACCCCGCCCGGGACGTTCTACGCTCGGGTTAAACACGCGTGATGCCGGACACGAGAGACGGATGTGGGCGCGGATGGGTGCAAGCCCGACATCGCGAGCAAGCCGCCACTCTCTCAACCTACCCCGAGACAGATATGGCGGACAACGAGCGGAGGTCGCGGCGCTTGTTGCGGACAACGTCTCGGGCATGTGCAAGGCTGGCTACGCTGGCGATGACGCTCCGCGCGCCGTCTTCCCCTCCATCATTGGCCGGCCGCGTCAGCCGGGCGTGGGGGTGGGTTGGGAGCGCGTTGGTCTTGCGGGTCGACCTAGAGTACGCTGAGCTGTGCGCGTGACCGGTGTGTCTCGGTTGGGTTTGGCGATCGGTTCCCGTCCTTGCCTAGTTTGTCTCCCTTTGCAGGAGAGGACGGGGCAAAGGACGAACGCGGCTGTGTATGCCTCCCTGTAGCGACGCGTGGCTGTGTATGCCTCCCTGTAGGAAGCGGCGTGCGCGGCGCACAAAGTCAAAGTCGCTCCACAAAGAGGGGCCAAGCCTGCCTAGTATGAGGCCCTCGCGAGCTTGGATATGAATCGGGCTTGCTCGAAGCTGCTCGATTGCATCTGGGGACGCCGCTCGCCGGTCACAGCAGGGCGGCGTTAGAAGGATAGGTGAACTCGCAGCTCGCGGCGAGGCCGAGTGGGTCTCGCGTGCCGGGCCTGGCGCCTGCGGTGCCGGTGTGCCTGTGGGCTGTGGCGCAGCCCTGTGCGATCGCGGGGCCGGCGCCGTCGGGCCGAGGGAGGGGAAAGGAATACAAAAAGGCTGGTCCTATGGCATGTCGCAGGAGCTCGTATTGATTGTGAACGGCGTCTAACAGTGAAAAACTAAAATCCGGTCGAGCGGCGTCCATGTGCAGGTAGAAACCTAGAAAGAGGAAAGATGCAGGTGTGTGTTATTCTTGCTTGGGCGGGCCTCATGCTGAAATTCTGCAAAAACCTGGCCGGCCCCTGCTTTGCCCCTACCTACCTACCTACCTACCTACCTACCTTACTTATGGGGAAACTAAAAAAGAAATCATCGATCGGTGAAGGTGGGGTACTATACCAACTAGAGTGATGGTTGGTGGTACTCTCCTGCAACCACAATCCTTCTTGTGACATGGCAGGCCACTCTCAAGCCCTACAAGCATCAGATCACCCATTTGGGGAGGGTTGACATCGTGATTTCCGCGGAAAATTTCTTTTTCTGCCGTGAAAAAATTCCAGCGTGAAGAGAGGGAAACCCCCGACGGGAGGGCGCAGACCTACCCTACCTACCCCGGCATGAGGCCCGCCCAAGCAAGAATAACACACACCTGAAAGATGAAGAAAAAGCGCTTCTGTTCTCCTATTGCCCTAGTCATGGCGCAGGAGGGGATAGTTCGTGTGAATTGTGAATGAACTGTGGGGGCCCGTGTTGCATGTCTGACTGTCACTGTGCGATTTCGGGGCCCGGGGTTGTGCGTTTAGGTGAATGAACAGCGTCTAACCGAAAACGTGGAGGGTCCCTCAAGAAACAGGGGGGGCGAGTCCTCGACGGCTCACTGCGCCGGCGGCGCGTCGGCCGCGTCGGGCCCGCTCCCTGGCCTTACGTTCTGTGCTCGCATGAGCACCTTTTCAAAGTTCCGGGAGCCTCCCGCCGCGCTCTCCGAAGAGTGGCGGAGCTGGTCGACCGCGAACTCCGTGAGCCCGGCCGACCTCTCCAACGCCGCAATCCGGCACGCACTCGCGGTCACTCGCTTTTGCAGCGCGCGCTCACTCGGCTGCACGTGGGCGGAGCATCACGCGCTGCTGGACATGAGTCGCGCGCCATACGCTCACCTGTACGACCAGCACACCGTCCCGAGCGAGGCGCGTCCCGGCGCCACGAGCTGCGCGCGGCTTCACCGCCCGAACGCCTCGCAGCTGCTCGCGCTGGTCCGCGACTCGCAGCCGGCAGTGCTCACCGGCCTCCTGGACGGCTGGCCGGCAACGCGCAAGTGGACCGACGAGTACCTCGCGGCCGCACTCGGCGAGCGCAGAGTGGCGCTCTCGGTCACAGAGGGCGACTCTTGACGAGAGCCTTCAGCGGCCCGTGTCGTTCGGCGATTGAGCCAGAGGATCCAGTATACTTAGGCGCCTTCGACGAGCCTGAGCCCATCGAGCGGTGGACCGGCACGAGCAGCGGCGGCGGCGGCGGGGCAAGCGGAGAGTGGGTGATCGCGCGGCCGGCGCACGAGACGATGAAATTTCGCGACGCGCTGCGCGCCATCGCCTCCGCCGGCGAGAGCGGGCTCTCTCGCTACCTCGAGTACTTCCCGCTCGAGGCCTTCCGCTCCCCATCGCTGCTCGCCGACCTGGCGCCGCCGGCCGCCGCCGCCGCCAAGGCCGCCGCCGACGAGGCGGAGGCGCGGTCGTGGGCGCGCACGGGCGGCGGCGCAGGCTCTCCGTTTGGAGACGGCGACGCGTCGGCGGCGCCGCCCCTGCGGGGGCGCGGCAACGAGGAAGCTGGCTCGTTGCCGCTCGCCTCGTGGCTCCTCCCGAGGAAGCAGCTCTTGTGGCTTGGGCCCGAGAACACCGTCGGCGCCACCCACCACGACGCGTTTGAGAACCTGATGCTGCTCGTGCGCGGCTCGAAGACCTTCCACCTCTCGCCGCCGCAGGAGGATGAAGAAATAGCACGACACAACCGCATCACAACACAAGTCAACAGAGCATGCGCCCCTCACCTTCCACCTCTCTCCCCGGCCCAGGACGGCGGGCCGCACCTCCGCGCGCACCGCCCGATGCGCGAGGCGAGGCTGGCGCTGGTGCCTGCTCAGCAGCCCGGCGGCGGAGGGGAGGGCGCAGGCGAGGGCGCGGGCGAGGGCAGGCCGCGCCTCGTCCGCCTCGCGTCGAACATCGGCGAGCCGAGCCTCTCCCACTCGTACGCCGAGGCGCGCCTCTCGCGCCCCGCGGCGGAGCAGCCGCGCGGCGTCACCCTCGGCGAAGCGACCGTCTTCACTTGCACGGCGCGGGAGGGCGAAGTTGTGTACGTGCCGAGCTACTGGTGGCACGAGGTCGTCTCCAGCGCTGGCGACCTCGGCGGCCCAATCGGCATCAACTGGTTCTTCGAGCCCTTCTACCTCCGCCTTCGGCCAAACGCCAGCCTCGAGCGAAACACGCACTACCTCCTCCTCGACGACATGACCGCGCGCCGGCTCGAGGAGCCGTTCCCGCCGCGCGCCGCCACCCCCGCAGCCGACTCGCCGACGCACGAGGTAGTGCCGCCGCGGGATACAGCGGAGCCCAGCGACGCCGACTATGTCCTGCTCCCCGCCGGCCTCGCTTCGCCCGGCTTCTTCGTGCGAAACGCCTCGGCGCACCCGTGGGTGGAGCAGGGCCGCAACAGCCTCGCGAGCCCCGTCCTGGAGCTGCTCGACGAGACGATGGCGGCGGCGGAAACAACCACCCTCGTCAACGCCGGCGCTTCCGTGGGCGCGATCGCCCTCTACGCCGCCTCGCTCGGCGCGACGGTGCATGTTGCCGAGGCGGACCCGGACAGCTTCGAGGCGCTGCTGGCCAACGTCGCTGCCAACCCGGAGGAGGTGCGGCGGCGCATCACACCCTCCTTCGTCGCGGTGGGCGACCGGCCCGGCGCGGTGCGCCTGTCCACGCCGGCGGGCGAGGCGGGCGGCGGGCGTGGCTCCGCCGCTTCAGAGAATGAGAGCGCGCGACCCGCAGGGGAGGGGCTGGGGGTAGAGGCGGGGAGGTCGTGGGAGGTGGCGGGTGTCGCGTTCGACGCGTACCTCGACGCCGCCCTCGAGGAGGGCCGTGCGGAGGGCAGGACCGACGCCCTTGTAGTGATGGACCTCGACGGGGGCGAGAGGGCGGCGCTCCGCTCTGCCTTTGGCTCGCTCGCCCACCGGCCGGCACCGCGGCCGCCGCTGCTGGTGGAGGCGCACCCCGGCCTCTTCAGCCCGCGGGGCGGGCCGACGTCGGAGCGCGCGCAGTATGTGGCGGCGGTCTGCCGCACGCTCGCCCTCTACCGCCACCTCTTCTTCCTCGGGCGCGAGCAGGCGCCGACGTGCGCACCCGCTACGACGACGCGCGCGCGGTGCCGCCACAGGGCGCTGCTGTACCGCTTCTCGTCGGTGCACGAGCTCGCCCGTTTCCTCGCGTCGACCAGCGAGGCCGCGCTCTGGGTGTTTGCGTCCGATGATGCGCCGAGCGCCGTTCGGCAGAGGCCGATGCCGCGGGGCGACGCTGTGGGCGCGGCGAACGCGCGGGGAGAGGGGAGCGAAAGTTGATCGATGATGGAGGGGCCAGCTCGCTCGCGGTCGCGCGCCGCGTGTAGTTTACTTCTGAGAGAGCGCAATACCAAAATCCATCCATCAGACTCCGACTCTTCGGCGTTTCCTCATTCCTGCCTGTGCATTCCTATCTAGATACCTGGAAACCCCGCACATTGGCCAGTATTCTACTGTACTCTGACGTAGCCACCTGCGACCTGGGAGCTGGGTCCTGGAGCGGCCGCACACTGCTCGGTACCCCCCCTGCACATCTAAAGTCATGGCCGACCCCCCCCCCCCCAGCAGCAGCGCTCTGCTGCTGGGGGGGTCGGGACCCCACCCCCAGCAGCAGCGCTCTGCTGCTAGGGGGTGCTGGCATCTCTGTACCGACAGCTGTAAGTAAGTACGGTTAGCGTTCCAGTCGTCGGCGAGGTGCTGGATATTAAATGGCTTGAGTGCGAGCCGCATGGCTTCCACCACGTCGCTGCCCGCCATTGCGGCGACGCGTCGCGGCGGACCTGACAGTTTTGCCGCGCGACGGGCCGCGCGCGCGTTTCGAAAAAAGAAAAGTCCTTAAGCTCAGTCGATCGAATTCGACGAGCGAGCGATCCGAGGATCGAGCGGGGGACCGATAGGCTAGAGAGATCAACGCTGATCGATCATCGTCAGCCGAGACGCCCGAGTGAGTGGCTCACTACACGGCTTTTAGTGTGGTAGTACAAGATAGACTCACATGGTCACAAGTCTTTAGTAAAACGCCAGCACTCGACACGACGAAGGTGTATTGGGCTCGAAGGCGCGGTGAACACAGCCGCCTCGACGCGTCGCGGCGGACCTGACAGTTTTGCCGCGCGACGGGCCGCGCGCGCGTTTCGAAAAAAGAAAAGTCCTTAAGCTCAGTCGATCGAATTCGACGAGCGAGCGATCCGAGGATCGAGCGGGGGACCGATAGGCTAGAGAGATCAACGCTGATCGATCATCGTCAGCCGAGACGCCCGAGTGAGTGGCTCACTACACGGCTTTTAGTGTGGTAGTACAAGATAGACTCACATGGTCCACAAGTCTTTAGTAAAACGCCAGCACTCGACACGACGAAGGTGTATTGGGCTCAAAGGCGCGGTGAACACAGCCGCCTCGAGCGTACCGCTAAAACACGAGCCGAGGTGGGAGGGGGCGGCGGCGGCGAAGAGGCGGGAGCCGGGAGAGCTGGGTCCAATGCCCTCTGCTGCTGGGGGGGTCGGGACCCCCCCCCCAGCAGCAGCGCTCTGCTGCTGGGGGGGTCGGGACCCCCCCCCCAGCAGCGGTGCTCTGCTGCTGGGGGGGTCAGACCTCCCCCCCCCCCCCGAGGGGGAGGCATTACCTGC